GGTGTAAACAACATCGCCTGACTCACTCACCATCTTGGTTCTGGAAATGAGGGAAAATCTGGCATCGCGGTTTCCTTCAAGGAGCTCCGCCTTTTTTATGTTCCTTCGGTCTGGATGGGAGGCATTCACGAGAAGTTTCCGGAAGTTGTTCAGTTGGCGGAAGGTTGCTAGCGGAGGATGAGAAAATATTTTCGGGCTGGTCTCATCACTCTCCAAGATAAGGAAATGACGGGTAAGAATTTCACCCAGGGTCCCTAAGGATGGATGATATGTCAGGACGCAAGGAACTAAGCCGGCAGTGTTATTCTTTTCTTTCGTTCTGTATCGAAGGAGTTGCTCTCGAGGAATCCTGTTGACTTTTCCTATGGCATCCACGATAACATAAGGATCGTATCCACGAGCGAGGAGAATTCGAGACCTGATCCCCGATTGGTTTCCAAAGGTCTTCTTGTCCTGGCAGACAAAGGTCTTCGCCTGGGCGAATGGAATGGACCTTTTCAGGTGCATTGGATGTCCACTTTTGAAATGGAGTAGGTTTCCTGTGTCTGTGGGCTTCCTGTAGATATCGGTCGAGATCTCGCCATTCCGAAGTGTCAGCAGTAAGTCAAGAAACGCTATGGAAGAAGTAGACTTCTGGATAGTCGAGGATAGTTGGGACAACTTGATAGTTGAGTGGAACTGATTTATCCAGTTGATGCTGGAAAGATGGTCGGGACCTTCGATCCAGATCAGGAAGACATCATCAATGAACCTTTCATAGAAGTGTGTTGCAGTACTACCTCCCTACATCGGCGCACCTGTAAGGTGATGAATATGATTTCATGGTTCTCAGTTCAAAACGCAAGGATTGCACGGGATGGCCAGAGGCACAATCTCCGCCAATGGAACACTCGATTGCAAATCGAAATTCCATCCCTTCCGCTGTCTTGGGTACATCTTTGGAACTAATATCGTTTGAAACGTATCACTGATACATCACTCTAGAGAAGCTGTTGCATGTATCATTTTACGAAAGCATCTGAGAATTTTCTCAAACATCGATGTCGCCGATGCCTCACCCTCCCGGGACTTCAGCTTTTGCAAACCTTTTAAGCGTGCCAGTTCGTGTCGATTCGCCAGAAGCCACACCTATTCGCTCTTAGATAATGCCCCGATCCGCACGGCAATCCTGTTGCAACGTTGAAACATCATTGAAATTTCAATATCCGCGATGCTGAGTCAATACTAAAAAACATTCATCGACCTATCGAATCGACGTTACCTCAATGTTGGAAAGAGGCAGGTCTCAACAATGTCCAAACATACAGTGCGCATTTGCCGTTTGAAGTATTCCCTGAATCCTCGGCGTGATCTCAATCCCTTCAGCATCGAAATTAGAGATGCCCCTCTCCCTCTCGACATCAGACTCGAAACGTGATTTTTAAAAAATTAAAAGGCAGCAGAGCGAATACAGCGAAAGGTGGGTCTCTCCACCCCGCTCGACCCAAAGGATCCGATTTAAGATTTCTTTCCGACGCAGGCGGGGGGGGGGGGGCCTCATCGAGTCAAACCAACACGGCAAGTTTCCTCGATCCGTTCCCAGAGCCGGAAATGCCCTTGGTCCCATTGGGCTGAATTGCCTCTTTCTTATTCCCAGTGATTCGAATCCCTTCCTCGGTGTCGTCGGTGGAGAAAGGACCGAATTCCGTTCCAAAATAACCGAGGAAGCGTGACAGTTGCCTAAATGAGTTAACACCCTGTGTCAGCGATCGGTCGCCATTTCTCTTTGGGGTCAGGAAACCTTTGTTCGAATGTCTCGCCAGACGTACGGTCGTGTAATATCGACCGGACGATGTCCTCGCGTTGTTTATATTCTCAACATCGCATCTAAGTTGACTGTGCATCGGATCATCAACTTCAACATCGCTTCAATATCTTCTCAAATTTGAGTAAATATTACTGAGCAGACTGGGACGTGCTTCTCGTGAAAAGTTAATTTCCTTCACTTGCAAAAAAACGCAGCACGAATGCGTCCAGAGACAGGTAGACCTTCCAGCGAGCCATGAGGCATATCCGTTACGTTAAATTAAATTATAGCGAACCTTTGGTTCTCATTTTAACCCCTACTGTCATCACCGTTATTACAGGGTGGCCAAAGATCCTGCATAGATCCTCCGCTTAGACCATGGCCTTGAAAGGCATACGCTTGTAGGCCACTCGCGGTTGGCTAAGGTAGCCGATGCTTAGTGCAGAGGGGTCCGGACACGAAAATCTCTTGAGTGAATCCCGGCACTTCCTGAATGTTCCTGTCCCAACTATGAAGCGCGCTAATCTATCGGGTCATAAAAGGTGTGGGGAATCTTGGAGTGATGCTTCCAGATGCACAAATTCAAGAATATAACAGTTTTAGGAGATCTACCTTGTTATAGGTAGCTGCCCACGCAACACAATGTGTTAGCCGAAGAAGACTCAAATTTTAGAGCGAGTCTGCCTATTCTCATAGAGATTCCTGCAAAATGATTCAGACTTACTTATACGTCCCATGAACATCCCCTTACGGAAATGTCCTATAGGAAACCTATAGTTATTTCTTATAGGAAACCTATAGACTTTCCTATAGGTTTTTGAACCACGAAAAACCTATAGGATCCTTTAGGATCCTATAGGATCCCTATAGGATCCCTATAGGGTNCACGAAAAACCTATAGGATCCTTTAGGATCCTATAGGATCCTATAGGATCCCTATAGGGTCTTATAGGTCTCCTGACCTATAGGTTTCAGGGAGGATATTTTGGGTTTCGAAACCCAGGCATTACGACGGTAAAGGCGACCGGGGTTAATAATGGCGCAGCATTTCGGTGTAAATCAAACCCCGATTAGAAGTTTTTCCATGGTAGGGACACACGCATTTTAAATGCCAGTACAGCGGGGGTCTGCATAATTTATGGCCCCGCCCCACATATGTCGCTGGATTGCACGTCTACTTCCTTCGATAAAGAGAAATAGTATTCTTCTCTCGACCTAAGGAAATAGAAGACAGACCCTGCGAGCACGTCTCTATACTGAAACTCCATTTGGATAGAGTCTACTCAGCTTCGTACGTGGTTTTCAAAAGGAATAAGGGCATATTTCTTCACGGGACTCCATAATTCTATCTGGAAAATGGGGATGACAAATAAGGAAGTGTCGAAGTTTATTGATTGCTATAATGAGGCAAGGCGCGACATTTGGGGACGTACAAAACTCTCTTGTGAGAGATGATTCCTTGGGTTAGAGGAGAAGTTAGAGGACAGAACCCTATAGGTCCTATAGGGTTCTGTATAGGCATTATAGGGAACCCTATAGGCCCTATAGGGAACCCTATAGGCCCTATAGGGAACCCTACAGGTCCTATTGAGAATTCTATAGGTCCTATAGCGAACCCTACAGGTCCTATAGGGAACCCTATAGGTTCTATAGTGGGATCTATAGGTTCTATAGGGAACTCTTTAGGTTCAATAGGGGACTCTATAGGTCCCAAACTGAACTTTATGGGGCATATAGGATCCTATAGAATTCCTTTAGGTTCCTATAGGATTCCTATAGGATTCCTATATATTCCTTTAGGAATATATAGGAATCCTATGACATTTTCGTAAGGGTCTGTACCATGCACATGCATGGACATCGTCCATATGTATTCGTGGTCGGTGAAGTGAAGCAGAGCACAGCATTTCCTGATAAGTCTTATTTATTTCTCTTTCCAGTTCCTCCTGCCTTCTTTCCCAGTGATGCTGAAACATAAAAAATGAAAATCTGAATTGGCCCAAAATATCACATCATGCCTCATTTTTACAACCTAAGCATAAGCGAATATTACCACAATGAAGTCAGACCGTTCACGAAGATTAAAGACCGATGACTCTTTAATGAATGCATAGTGACGTGAAGGAACAAGAAATTGTGATTTCTTCACCCTCTTTGATGCAGGTGCTGCAGCATCACTGGAGAGGAGAAGAATTCATCTTCTACAGAAATTGTCATCCTCGGCAAGGTTTCGTAGGAACGGCATTTCCTGCTCGTAGCCGTATGGAGAGTAGTAGCAAAGGGGGCGGGGGGGAAAGGTTGAGATGGCAGTGTCCTTTCGGGAAAGAACAAAACCCAGGCAAATTGGTTATAATTAAAAAAAAACTTTTCTTGAATATGCTGGAAAGTGGATTCGGGACATTGTTGCTCGGCGTTTCGGGTCACAAATTTTGTTCTGGCAGCGTTACCCAACTATAACTCGAAATTACAAAGTATGCGGAAACGGAAAAAATAAATCGCTCATAATTTGCACAGCAAGCCGATCTGGAGTACATCTCTTCTGTTGCGAAAGACATTTTATCTTATCGGATCACCCTCCACGATCTCGAAACAAAACAGGTAGGATAGGCGCGCGATAGCTCAGCGTTCTAGCCAGGATTGCTCTCTGCCAAACGCCAAGAACGAAGATGGAGCCAAAAGAGCAGGAAGGGCCTTCGCCTCCTTCTTCGGAACAAAGGTGATGCTACGCTGTTTCTGGTGTTCCTGGGTGGGGGATGTGATGTGAACTTGCCGAAACTTCTGCGCAGTGAAGACTTTCTCTCCTTGATTCTTCTGAGGAAGCTTAGAAATGCAAATTGATGAGACTGCTTTTAAAAGGTTGGCATTCTGTGACCATGCCATTGCTTTTACGCTCTTCCTTTCGCCTGCGCTGACGGGAATAGCAACATGATACGTGCATGGAACCAACGTGAAACCAATTGAGTTTCTCCTCAAAGTTCAGAAACCAGTTAGCGTTATGCATGCACTTCCGAGCTTTGATTTTTTTGGTGAAATATAGAATATGAGTAGTTTTCTTCTTCAAGGCAGCTTTTTATGATTGAACACAAAACTCATCCTTATTTTGGTGGACAAAACGGAATTTAAGACGGTAGTATGAATGTTATTTTCTCTTTAAAAAATATTTAGAACCAAGAAGTTATCTTTCGTCCAGGAAAGAGTGCGGCGGTTTTTAAATATGACGAACCATGTCGACACCTCAACGCCGAAACATTCGGTGAGATTCCAGATACTAATTCCTCCCAGATTGAATTACGTAAGAAAAACCCAGTCCAACTGCATTAAGGCGCTCACGACAGGTTCCCTTCGCCCGGCCCCTCAGACCGGCCCGAAACCAGTTCAAACCGCGAGAAGATCCCACCGGAGACATCACCCCTAAGGCGGCCCCACAGAAGAAAGTCAATGAAGGGACAGGAGACGGGGAGCCCAAGGACGTAAGTTCGGCTCCCCCCGCGAATGAGATCCGCCCGCCTTCCATCACAGATTCCAGGACAATCTCGTTTGAAGAGATTCCTTATGAAAATATCCCAGAGAAATATTATGAGGTATTTGAGCCTGAAATATCTATCGGTACCTAATAAGTTTCTCGAGGACCCTATAGGTATTGTTAAGTAACCCTACAGGTATATCGAGTTTCAAAAAGTTACGAATCAAGCTCGTTCTATAGGAATCCCATCTAGGAAACGTTTTCCTGTAATCGACTGCCGCGGATTTTCTTCACGAAGCTCTTTCATATCGATAGAGTGTAAATCCGAAAGGTATGTTCCTTGGCCGCACCGTTCCAGAGATATTGTTGGTAGAAGTTTAAGATTATTGAAATGATTATAATGAACAATATTCGGAACTTTTACCAACTTCAGTGCAATTGTTCTCACTCACCAGATAAGGGAATGAATTTCAGAAAAATCTTAGCGCTATAACGGTGGAAGAAAATGCATCACTCATCAAAGGAAAACCTTCTCTGCAAACTTGCGTGACCTGGCAACCTGGAAGGATTGCGATCAATACGAGTTAATGAAACTGGGATGATATTTACCCGTTGGACCTTATAATAAAGGATAGAAGAACAGGTACCCGAAACATTGAGAGACTTTCCAGATGCTTCCAATGTGTTTTGAATTCTTTAGTGCTCTCCTGAATAATTTCTCGACACATCACATTTGAACGCTTCACAAGTATTTATCTGGTTGTAATTCAGAATAGTGCGCAGAGGACATCCTAAGGGCATTTAATCGAAGGTCTTTTCTTTAACTTGGGTCACATTTATGGGATCTGCTCGATATTCATGTCGAAGAGACGCGGCCTTATAAACAATTTGACAATTAGAAGTAACATTTGGCTGTAATGGTTGAAGGTTAAATCCCAAGGTTTTGGTTTGAGTGCCCAGAGAAACTTTCCCTGGGAATCCGGTTCCCTTAAATCGGGAACCGGATTCGAGATAAAGCGCTTGGAGTAACATATAGTCTGCAGATATGCCCCTTAAATGCAAGTACCTAACATAGATACGCATATTTGTGTAAATAAAATTTCAAGATATGCAGTCTCATATCGCTTCGGTTCTTTGATCCTCTCTCTACATGAATGACCAGCCTCCTGAGATTACAACACCAAGGAAAGAAGAGACTCTTGCTCAGAGAATGAAGAAGACGTGCAAAAACATCGACGGATTCATCTACGAACTTCCCAAGAATGGGATAATGAAAGACCAGCCTAATAAGCTGGCCAAGGTCGAGATCGGCGACAGAGGACCCACCAGCGCAGCTGGATCGGGAAAGGTTCTCATGCTTGTCGGCGGCACAGGAGCAGGTGAAATCCGTCCGATTCAGACCCTCCGTTCGTGCTCATGCAATACAAATTTTGAAATCTTTCTTTTTCTTCCCAGGCAAGAGTACACTCATCAACTCAATGGCGAATTACGTTTACGGAGTGAAATTGGAAGACGATTTCCGCTTCAAGCTGATCGTCGACGAGGGTAGGAAGCCCTCAGTCAAGAGCCAAACCAAGTGGATCACGGCATACGTACTACATCATCAGCCAGGATATGCTTTCCCTTGCACATTGACGCTCATCGATACCCCCGGGTTCGACGATACAGAAGGACTTCAGGAAGATGAAAAGTTGAGAGACCAACTTCGGAAATTATTTTCCCAAGGGGGAAACATCGGAGTGGATCAGCTAGATGGAGTATGCTTCGTTGTCCAAGCCTCTCAGGCAAGGCTTACAACCTCTCAAAAGTATATATACGACGCTATTTTGGCTGTGCTCGGAAAAGATATTGAAAAAATCATCTATGTGCTGACAACATTTTCGGATTTCCAGAATCCTCCGGTTCTAGCAACCGTTCGGGAAGCAGGTATCCCTTACAAAAAGCATTTCGAAGTCAACAATCAAGCAATATTCGTTAAGTCTGATGATGAGCCCAACGAGTTAGTCAAATGCTTTTGGTCCATGGGATATCGAAGCTTTAAAAAATTATTCAAGGTTATCATTCATGCAGAACCCGTAAGCCTGACTCTGACAAAGGAAGTCCTGCAGCAGAGGAAGCATTTGGAGGCAGCACTCCAGGGCATCTTGCCACAAATCAATACAGGTGAGGTAGCCTTTCAGTCCACCTTTAAATGGAGTCTCTCTTAAATTACCAGTGTAGACGTTATTTCGACTCTTGAACATTGCAGCTACAGGAAGACTGGAACAGCTGAGAGAAACGTATGCAGCTTTGAGGCAGCACGAAGCAGAGATGAATGCGAACAAGAATTTCCGCTACACCGTGAAGGTCGTGAAACGCATGAAAGTAGACCTGGATGTCGGAACGTATGCGACAAACTGTCTCACATGCAACATGACCTGTCATTTCCCTTGCTCTGTTGAGAACGACAAAGACAAAAATACATGTTCTGCCATGCACACTGTAGGAACGATCACTTGCTGTCAAATCTGTCCCTGGAAATGTGCATGGGATGAACACGTCAATAGCAAATACCGTTTCAAAATCTACGTAGAAGATGAAATGCATACATTTACGAATTTGCAGAAAAGATATGAGGCAGCCGTTGGGAAACGGTTGAGTACCAAAGACGTACTAAATACCCTCATCAAGGACTTCAATCAGGAGAGAGCCAAAGTCTACGAGCACACAAAGAAGGCGCACGAATGCCTACAAATACTCGACCAGATAGCCCTGAAGCCAAATCCATTGAGCATCTTAGAGTACATTGATCTCTTGATCAACAATGAGGAACGACAAGGCAATGCTGAGTGCATCCAGAGGATGAAGTATCTTGAAGACGCTAAGAGGAAAGTCGAATTGGCCAAGAAACTGAAGGAAAATTTTGATCCTTTCGAAGCATGTATGAAAGAGTTCACAGAACTAGGGATGGATATTTCCGTCTTCGATCCCCATCCAGACTAAGATCAGTCGATCCTTCCTACTAAGTCAGCGCCAGGTTTTAGAAGCAGATGCAATAGCTTATCAACTGTGACTCGCTTTGGAGCCGAATGAGGGAATTTGCCAAGAAGCACGCTCACTCTATTGCTTAAAAAAAAAGACAGAGGGGACATGATGAACAAATGACAATCAATTATTGGTGATCAATATATTTTAGGCAAAGCATAAGGAAGAGTGTGATTTTTTTTAAAAGATGTATCATAGCGACATGCTGGTTTTGATTCCTTCGAAAATACAAACCCTATTGCAATTACGGCGACACATCAAAGAAAACAAGATCGCTCACTTTCAGACGAGACAACAACCAATGAAACATGCATTTTGGATCTACATCTTGAAACCTGGTTGCAAAACGTCCCTCTCACACCGCATGAGTGTCTGGAGTTGGGTTTCCGATGGGTACACAGGGGGAAACCCATCTGTACCTATCAATCAAGAGTTCTGTTCTTTCGATAAGTGAAAATGAATCCTGAAATTAGTGTTGCCCTCTAGCTGAAATGCTCGAAAAGGAAACTAAGCTGATTTGTGAGTCTCGAATGCGCCATGTTTTCAAAGTTTATTTTAATGTAGTAAGTCTGTATCTTTCCTTCAGTTCAGAAATCTATCGAGTATGGAAAAATCCATGCAAGCTTCTATTCCGGTAGTTCCATTCATTCTCTCACTCAAAGATATCATGATAAAACATTAAATTCTCTATTTTCTAAATAAATTTTCTCAGTCCTTTTGCGCCTCCAGAGACTGGAGATAACGAACTTTTGTAAGGAAACCAATATTCAAAAATGTATTTAAAATTCTCGTCGAGGTGTGATTGACTTCTAAGCGTTCAATGACACTTAGCGTCGTTTAATATGTCCCGTTACATTTTTTCATCATTTTCGTTAAATATTTTACACTAATTCTATTAATTTTACAAGTTGTTTATTGTAGTTATCCAAAGTTGACATCCCCTCTGAGAATGATAATTTGCATGAAAAGGAATTCATTTCTTCCTTTGTACATTTAAAATATTATCTACACTTCCATCCTTGGAACATGGACTGGAATGTGCTCTACTGTCTTGTTTTCCCTCTTCGAAACCTTTCCTAATTTCTTGTGAATAAAATTTCGATGGCCTCATCTTGTATTTCATCAATTTCCTTTCTTGCAGATAGCAGATGTTAAGAATAGTAGTAATAAAAGTAGTACTCCAGAAAAGGGACCTAGTGCAGGTCCCTTCTGCGCATGAAGGCTTTGTCCAGAAATTAAATGCACAAGATTGTACAGTTTATTTGCACAATTCAAAGCATTAAGTTTTATAACGAAGACGAGCTAGAGGAAATGATTTGCCTGTCCGAACGTGAAGGCTTTTCATAAAACAGACTGCACCAGAATTCACGGCATATGTACAACTTACAGAACTAATATTGGATTGGTTCCCCTCATAATTCTTCCATCAAAGTCTCCGAAACAATCTCTTTTCAAAAGATCCATTAATAAATGATCCTAAAGAAATATTATTGGGTATTTAAGCCCGCAAAAGCACAAACACTTGTGTGATTGTGCATTATTTTTGCCAGCTATTCCTATTCTGCTGAACAATTGGCAAGAGGTGAACGCCCTGGACTCGGTACCGCATCTCCTAGACAGAATGGCACTTGGAAACTATGGCACTTAGAAACTATACTGTACAAGGCTATCTCTCCGACAACTCTCAGTTTATAAGTCTAAGAGGAAAATATTTCTCTGGAGGACCATGCCGCACGGGAGCTTTACAAGTGGGCGTTTTATCTCCGCTCTTGCTCATTCGAGCCACCGATCCTCTTTGTTCCTCGTATTCGAACGGTGTGCTATCAAAGTATGTCGAAGACACCGCAATCGTCTGTGCAATCCGAGACAAGAACGACTCGAATTCGTTCTTCCGGGAGATCAAGCATGTTGCTAATTCGTTGGCAAATGAAGGCTTCGTCTTAAACCAAGGCTGGACAGGGACAGACGAACACCGTAGGGAATTCGCCATTCCGAGAACACGGGCTAATACGACGTTATGCCCTTGTCCTTTTCCTTAATTATCGGAGACGCATTATACAGTATTATCATAAAAATGTACATCAAGTAAAGTTTTATATGCTGGTGACCCAGAGCTGACAGCGCACGAGTTTAAAAAATGTATTTCTGATGTATGGTCAATAGCAGTGGTTCTCACCTTTTTCATATCGCGACCCATCATGTCCTTCCTCTATCTTTATGCGACCCACAATTTAGAAACTCCAGAAATAACAAAAATTGATTGCATATTTTAAATACGGAAATGACGCTCTCAATAAATTGCTCTTGGCACTGATGATTCCTCGTTTATTCCTTTCTGTTTCCTCTTCGATTCTCCTACAAAAGAACTCCACTGGTTTATCCTTCAACGTCGGATGATTTCCATCTGAATGATGCTTCCAAGTTAAAGGTTTCATGGATGCATTTGCCAGCTGTTCGCCACAAACTTATTATTTTGGTTTAATGTATTCTGGATTGGCTTCCCTCATGAATCTTCCATCAAAGTCTTCAAAACAATCTCGTTTCGAGAGATCCCTGATAAAAACAACCTAAAATAATATTATGGGGCATTTAACCCTAAAAAATCTAGTGGTACCTAATAAGATTCTTGAGAACCCTATAGGTATCGTTTAGTAACCATATATGTTTTCGAGTTTCAGAAAACCACGAATCCGACACGTTCTAATAGAAATTCCATCCAGGAAATGTGTCCTTGTAATCGACTGTCACGGATATTCTTCACGAAACGAGCTCTTTCATATCCATACAGCGTAACTCCAAAGCAAATGTTCATTTCTCCTCAACGTTCCAGAGGAATCTTGAGTAAGTGTTTAACAATATTACTGAAATAATTTAAAATTGTCAATATTCGGAACTTTTACCAACTTCAGTGCAATTTTTCTCCCTCACCAGATGAAGGAATGAAATTCAGAAAAAAAATTATTTGCGCTAAAACGGAGCAGAAAAATACATCGCTCGTGAAAGGGTGATGCCCTCCCTTCAAACTTGCATGGAGGGCATGCGATCACTACAAGATAATGAAACTGTTACAATTGTTTCACATGTCCTGCAAAGGTTCACCTCGTGCGGTCTTGTATTCGCTAATAACAATGGCGGATCTGGCAGGCAGGGGGATTCTACGATAATCCAGTTAAGAGCACTATTTCCTATGATGATTTTCAAATGTTTCCTCTTGAGAGAGATACAGACATATATGCTTACAATGCTTGTTTAGTCTGTAAATATGCCCCTTTAAATACATGTTCCTGACATAGATACGCATATATCTTTGCAAGATAATATTTAAAAAATGTGATGACGAAATGTAAAGTTCTCCAGTTATTTGAAAGTAATTTGTTCAACCTTTCGCACCTTAAGAGACCTGACATGAAGAACTTGTGTGTGAAAACCAATATTCGCAAATTTTGTTAAAATTCACATGGCGGTTTGATTGACTTCTAAGCGTTGAGTGACCATTAACGTCCCTCAATATGTCCAATTTCATTTTGTTCAGCATTTTCCCTTAAATTGTTTACGCTTTTCGATCAATTTTACGAGTTCTTCATCTTCTGTATTCATCCGGAGTTGAGATCTCCTCTGAGAATGATATTTTGAATTTAAAAAAATAATGAATTTCTTCCTTTATACATTTTAGATATTAATTACACTTTTATCCTTGGAACATGAACTGGAATGTGCTCTATTGTCTTGTTTTTTCCCTCTTCCACACTTTTCCTAATTTCTTGTCAAATTAAATTTCGATGGCCTCATCATGTATTTCATCAATTTCCTTTCTTGCAGACAGCAGATATTAAGAATAGTACTAAGAAAAGTATTACTCCGGAAACGGAACATAGTGCAGATAATTCGCCTCTGCGCATGAAGACTTTGCCCAAAAACTAACTGCGAAAGAATGTACAGATTATGTGTACAATTCAAAGCACTAAGTGCACTCACCAAGACGAGCTAGAGGAAATCATTTGCCTCTATGAGCATGAATGCTTCTCATAAAATTTATTGCCCAGAACGTACGATATGTGCACAATTTACAGCACTGAAAGTGGCCACAAATGATTCAGCCAACAATATCTAAGGTCTCGATTTCCGAACCGTGGCGCACATAGCTTTCAATCGTGAGTCTTGAATCTCTTTCACGGCGATGCTGTTCATCAGCTGTTGCGCCTTGGATGTTTTTTTTAGGACGTGGAATTATTGGACGAATTTGCTGGAACAGACGATTCAGACGTGCCGTTACGAATCCCCGCCGCGTTCGTTCTGCAATGAGATCCAACCTCTATACCGAAGTAAAACTTATGGCGTTCGATTGAATCCGGAATCTCGGAGAAGCTGCAGGACGCATCCTCGTCGCGCGGATTCCCGAAACATTCTCTGTGCGGGGAGTCCCGGCTGGAAGCGCAGCTGTAGTAGAAGACCTCCACGCCGTGATGGTAAGGGCCGTGATCCATGGACGGAGAAGCGACGAGAGGGAAATGCGGCACGAGATCGTCCGAGTTCACCACTCGCCAGCTGTCGTTCACCAGTTCGTCGTGCTGCCGTGCGTAATCGTAGTTACCGACTCGCGGCATGCCGAAAGTGTACAACACGACGTCGTCTCGCGTCGTGAAGTTGTTGTAGACGATCCAAGAGCTTGCGAGGGAGGCGATCGCACCCCGGAGAGAATGCCCGGTGACCCAAATCTCGTAATCCGGATTTTCTCGTCGAAGGGATTTCAATTCCTTCTCCATATTCGGCCAGAGCAAGTCGAAAGCCTTTTTCCAATTAGTCTGCACTTTGCCGTCCAGAAACGTGACCTTCGGCAAGGCGAGAGACGTGGCAAACACCTGAAAGGCCTGAGAGAAATCCATAGAGCCCCGAAAGACGACGACGATGGCCTTTTCAACGTGGGAAATCCCGACATATCCCGAGCAATCTTTGTCGAC